GTATAACCACAAGCATCAAGATTAACTACTATCGGGAAAGTTTGTGGAATGGGATAAATATTGCTACTGCTTTCCTTCTAAAGAAGGTAGTTATGATTGTTAAACATTTTGTTTGGCGGAGACTGAGACTTAACACCATTCTTTTAAATATCATTTGCAAAATACATTGCTTAGTAAACAGATTTTTTCAAGCCATGAATAAGATGCCTTTTAAAAAAACATGATTAATCAGTATTATATAAAAACAGGAATTCTGAGGAGGAGATTGCTTCAAATTAGATAGGCAAAAATGTGTTAACTGATGTGATAACTGATAGTAAGTACACTTTTTAGAGGTAAGGCTTATTTTTGTTCATTTGGTAAAACCTTCAGGTATCACTTAAATAATTTTAAGAGTGTACTTTTACTTTTGCATTCTCATTTTCAGATTTGCAAATTGTACTGTTTTTTGATTGCTCATGTGCCAGGGCTATAGGTTTGATGTAATACAGTTAGGTAATAAACAGTGTAGTACTCTGCCACTAGCTTACTTTAGTTTCTTCATAAAGTTGAGCCTAAGAACATTCCTTTTGTTAATGTACTGAAATTAAATGAGGCAGCATATAGAAAAGGACTTGCTGCTGCTTGATGTATAATCTTTTTTTGGTATGGATTTTGGATGGGGAGGGGTCTATTGTTTCCTGTTCACTGGGAGAAAGATATTTGTAAAAATAAGGAAATCGTGTGTGTCTTATCTTTTCATGCTTGTCATTTGAATGGTATTGCATAGCACACATATACCTGTAACCATTTAGAAAAATATTTATCTTCTGAAACAAATGTTTTAATATTAATGGCTCTTCAAAAAGGGCATTTAGCTCTTCCAGAGCCTTCGTCCTTTTTGCTAAGTTTTAAGATTTCTCTAAGAAGGTCACAAAAGCAGGTATAGTAGAGTTTATTGTTTAATCCTATAATTTTAGAGGAAAAGGTGATGGCCAAGAGTTACTGCTCTTGCTTCCTAGTGAAGCAAAGTTCATTCCTGTGTCGAGTGAGTGGTTGGTTGTCTGCCTTCTGTCCCATTGATATGGCTTCTGTCGTATCAATAAAATATAGCAGTGATACGATATATTGATTCCTACATTAAGCCTGCTATTTGTGAAAGCTTACTGTCAGCCTAACCTGAAAGAGCCTCACCTATTTTGAAATGTTACTGATGTCAAGAGCCAAGTGTTTGGTGCCTTTCAAACAAGGTTTAGTATCTGTAGCATGGATATGATTTTGTTTTTAAGAGGAAACATTGTATAACACAAGAAGAGTAAGTTTGCCATTTATTAAGAGTTTAGGGTAAGGTGTTTTAAGTGTCCATGTAGCATTAAAGATCACAAATTAAATTCTAATAATTAAATAATTGGTGTCAGAGACAGGAAATGTCTATTTTAAGAACTAGCTAAGAGGAAAGCTGTAAGCAAATGACTAAACAATGTTATGTAAATAGAAACACCCTGGATTTACAAACCGACTTTGCTGAATTTCAAGACTGTACACTTCAGAATAATAACTTTAAAAAGATGTTGGGAAACCCAGTAAATTTGTTTGGATAAATTTTAAATTTTTATTTTTGATTGTTAAAATTATTTAGTGTTTCAAAGGAAAACAGGGCCAGTAAATATCAGTGTTTAATGAAATTTCATTATTAGTAGTTACTTATTCAATTTATAGATATCTTTTAGTGTAATAATACACAAAAAAACTGAGACGGTATTCTTCAAATACCATTAATTACAACTGAAATTTAATAATATAAGAAAAATCAGAATATTCAAACCAATATTTAATATATGTTGGAAAGTCGTTTGTCATACATTGTGATAAATACAGGAAAAAATAAAACCTAACAATATCAGTACTCTTTTTTTTTTTCCCCAAAGATTTATTTATGCATACAAGAACTGGGGTACAAGCCAGAGATAAGGGCGGTGAGAGGATTCACAAAGACAGAGTGGGGAACAGAACTGGTTGATTTACTGAAATACACTGCTGAGGGGAACAGCGGGCCATTCAGGAGAAGTCTGCTGTGCCACGTGGGTCACCTCTGTGGCTGGGATCGAATTCTGTGCTTCAGTGGTTGGCAATAGCTTGATAGCACCGTCTTTAACCCCTGCGCCACCAGGGAGGCCCCAGTATCACTATTCTTGAAGAACTTTTAAGGACTCTAATTGCTGCTTTTCACATAAACTACTTGTTCATTTTCCTGATTTCCAACCCGTTTACTCTAGTCAATAAAATAACTTTGCATTCTACTATTCTACCCTAACAGAGAAAAGGAAACCGAATGTCCTTAAATGCCGATATATACTGACTGTCTTTGCTGTTTCTCTTAAGTACCCAAACGTGCTTCTAGAACCCTACAATCTTATAAAATGGATCATTCCTTCTCTTTGTGGCATACCATTTTAGTGACTTCCCTTCAGCATTCAAATGTGTTTATAATTTTTACCGTTAAACACAATAAAATTCTTTTCTTTTTCACTTCTTTTACAGCCAGATTTCTCAAAAAATTATACTGTAAATTCATCATCTTTCTTTTGCAACACAAGTCACTCATTCTTTGTACTTGGCTCACTGATCAGCCAATATCATTGTCACTAAGATCACCAGTGACTTCCCAGGTGCTCAGTCTTTATTCAATGAAATGAAAGCAATGCATATTTCAGTTCTCATCTTAATTCTTGGAGGACTTGCCAAAGTACTGCTTGAAGTAACTTTTCCTTGAAAGTCTATATCCTTCCCTAGTTCAAAATGCTAAGATTGCTCAGTATACTTGATCAAAGGTTTTTCCTCATTGTCTCATCTGTTCAGTCCCATTGCATTATTTATCATATCTATTCTGACAATTTAGACATTTTAATATCCACGTCAGATCTATAACCTTTGGTACTAACTTTCTCCACGTGGAAGCTTAAATTAAAAAAATAATAATAATTAAAATTTTGAGCATTTGCTATATGCCAGGCAGTAGCAAAGCACTTTTATTATCTCATAGGATCCTTAAACTCTTTATCTACTTTTATAATAAAATGGTCTTCAATCTTTAGCAAGCATCTGGAACACCTAGAAGGTTTATTAAAATACAGATTAGTGGGCCCTACCTCCCAAGTTCTGATTCAGTAGATTAGGGATAGGACCCCAGAATTTACTTCTAGCAAGCTCTCAGATGATATCAGTATTCTTTTTGGTCTTGGAAAACACTTTGAGGATACTGCATTAGAGAAACAAAATAACCTTTATAAATGTCATGCAGCTGTAAAGTGTAAAGCAGGAATTTGAACCAAGACAAGATCTAGATCTTACTCTCTTAGCCCAGCTCCTACCCTCCCACCTCAAACATATTATGCTGCCTTTTTTGAGGTACATCAGTCTCAGTATGTTTGTAACTAAACTTCCTAAATATCTTTTTCCCTCTAAATCTGGTTTTCATCCAGGGTTCCTTAGCTGCCATTATTACTATTAGACTAGAAACTTAACTCATTACCATCAAACACCTCCCCCCCTCCCCCATTCAGTCTGTCACCAAGTACTATCAGTTCTTCCCACACACCAAGATTAGTTTATATAAAGGCAGATGAAATAATGAGCTCTATAAAATCCTTTTACCACATTTTAGAATAAAGGCCAAAATCCTGACCATGGCTTACAAGGCTCTCTATATGACCCAACCCTCATGCCCACTTGAGGATCATTTTCAATTACTCTTTCTCTGAATCATTATGCAATTTGGTAAATTCTACTGGATTCTTAGTACTTTAGTACCAGTACTAGATCAGTTCAGTGATTTTGCTAAACTGTACTATACTCGCCATGCTGGGTAATATTCTCCTGTATAAATATGCCACAGTTTATTTGCTCACCCCAAGTATTTTACTAATAAATATCTGCTTATGTAAAAGAGGAAATTTTGTTTTGATTTTTTGCTTTTGTTTTACAATTATTAAGGAATCTAGAGATGTACAGGATGGTGGTCCCAAAGATGAATCTTTAATGGGAGGGTAGAGAAGAGATTGTTCATCAAAAGTGGCATTTTAAAAAAATCACAGATTTTTAATGTAATTGAGAGAGTAGAGTAGGTAGTATCAGTTAAATGGTACTAGATCCATAAACAGGAACCTGAATATCATGACACATTGTATTAATAAAAACATTACGGAGTTTAAATTTTATACTACAAACTGGTGAGCCATTGAAGATTTTAAGAAAAGGAGCATGTTAAGATTTTTTTTTTTAGGGAGGTGACTGGCAATGTTGGGAACACTGTATTTTAGAAGCAAGGAGATCAAGACTTTCAGTGGTTTTACTAACTAATCCAGGACAGTAGTAAATGCCTCAGTTTAACAGTGGTAGAGAAGTAGAAGGGATGGAACCAGAGAAAGGAAATTTAGAGCTTGGAACTAAAAATATTCATCTCATTAGTATAACTTTTTCTTTTATGCTCTTTCTATCCTTTCCATATTTCAAGATTAACTGAGGAATTACCTCTTAAATTATTTTATCTAGTAATTTCCACTTCTGAACCACACAGAAATAGTCATGTTGTATATCTCTAGTACTTAGTACTAGTAGTAGCAACTATCTTTTGTGTGCCAGGCATTATAATTGTAATACTTACATGATTTAATTAAATTTCTAAATCAAATATACCATATCGATATATGCATAGGCAGAAACTCAAAGGCACCTGGTCATAGACAGTAACAGATGGAGCTCAAGCACTATATTCATCTTGACTCTTAACACTCATTCCTATTCTGTACACTTCATGCTGTTGTGTGCACTTGTTTTTATGGTTGAAAACATGTCTTATGCTTCTATGCCTCACAGTGTTAAGCACATGTAAGGTATCCAATACTTAAGATATCTTTTTCTATTCAGTCTGCATAAAAATCAGTTCCGAGAAGGGGATTGTGTTTTGAATGATGGCTATGGTATGGTTGTAAATAACAAACTGTTCTACATCTCCTTTTCAGATCTGGATGGTGCTCTACTCTCAGGGCCAGATTGTGATAGAAATGTGAATGCAAATTTATTGACTGAAGCCAGCTCTGGTCAGGATGGAGGTGATGCTGGTAGGTACGGTAGGAATTTAGTAAGAATATATTTAAAAGGATTTGAGGATTGGGAAGTGTTTGTGTGCTTACGTTTATTAAGGACCTACTACAGTTTCTTTCCTGTGGAGGAGAGTGTTATATGTAAATGCTTTAAATCTGTAGTAGGTATGTTTTTGACAGTTGGAAGCTTGGTAAAATATAATGGGTAGTGTTTCTTATTTAAGGGAACCTTTTATTTAGAGGTTTTTAAACTCTTAAAGCACCTAAGTTAATAGTTTGGCTTCCTGCTAGAGTGCAGATGGAATATGAATGGTAATTGTGAATGATTGATTAATGTATGTAAATTAGCTTTAGTGTAAAATAGTATAGTTATTGATGACTATAAAACATTAATTCTAACAAGTACTATGTATCAACTGTACTTGGGGTGGGGAAGCTTTGCTGCACAATAAAAAAAAAACAAACGAATAAAATCAAATGACCTGTAATATTCCAGAGACTAATACACATGTATTATGAGTAAATTAGAGAAAGGGAGGTAACTCTCTTTCATAGAAGAATGCTAAGAATGATTCATTTAGAAAAATACCTATTTTGAAACCTCCACGGGAATTCATTCGTGATCACCAGTATTGCTGTTAATCCCACGATAGTTGGTCAGAGGGTTGTAATAACATCTTTACTTGATCTCAGTGTACTACCCCACAAGTTCCAGTTAAAAAGAGGGGGAAGACACCTTTCCAATAAATTTGAGTTCTGCTGAACATTGCCATAACCAAGTAATTAAAGTAAACTTAGTACTAGTAATAAAAGAAACTGAAATAGCATGCCTACTGACATGATGCATGAACTGGCACATTCCATCACTTAAGCATTATAGTATTTTCATATAGATTTAACCAGTCCAGACTCAAAATGTTAAAGCCATGAAGGAACAGAAGAATCACTAAACTCAAGGAGACCACAGTGTCATTGAACCAGATTCAATGCACAGTGTCATTCTTGATTATATGGAGGGTCAAAAAAAAAAAAAAGAATGTGAAGGCATTTTGGGAAATTGGTGAATGTGTTTAGTATGAGTTAAATGATAGTCTAACAATATTTAATTTTTTGGATGTGATAAAAGTAATATTTAGTTGAGGTTATGTAGAAGAAAGTTTTATGAGGAACATTGTATTTAGGGCTGACATGATTTAAGTACTCAAGTTGTTTCCAAATGGTGCATAAAAGTTTATAGTATACTTGGCCAGAAAGCCTATGTGGCAAAACATTTGTTGAAGATGCATAAAGGAATGTAGATGTTCATTGGTTGAATTTCTGTAGTTTTGAAATTGGGAGAGGTACTCTTTGAAATTGCTTTCAGGGGCTTCTGAATATGGTATACACAATTCAAACCTAAATCATAATCTCAAAAAAATTGCCATAATGTGGTTTCTCATGACAACTGAAAATAATTTACAAACATTGCTGAAATTAGTTTACAGTTGAGATGGGTTGAGTTTTGAATACTTTGTTCACTTACACAGAAAATGGCTAATAGCCCAAGAATTTCAGTTCCATTTGGCGTTCTTGGTTTAGAAATCTGGTTCAATGAAATTCAATGGATTTCATTGTAAAAATTTTAAATGTACACATAAAATATTTCCAGTGTATAGCAGTCCATATAATTTATCTCATTCTCAAAAGAAGCAAATCCTTGATCTAAAGTCATTCCTCTTTAGGGGACATTTTAATCCATTAGGATTTTTGCAACTAAGATCAGCCTTTGTCTTTGGATTTTTATTTCAAAAACATTGCTTTCTTCTTAGTTTGTCCTTATGGGATAATATAACCAGAGGATATTACTAAATAGCAAGCACAGTTTTGAAGTAGATATTTAATGACCTTTAATGGTCTTTCAGTGTATTGACTTTCAAAGGCAATACCTTTGTTCAGACTGCTTTTGTGCTTGATCCAAGTAATCTTTATAGGATATAAGAATTTGGAAAGATGAGAAGTTAGGAAGAGGCTATATTAATTTTCAAAGTATCATTTTGTATTCAAGGTATGGTATGGTGTCTCTGTATCATAGATTTTTTTGTAATTTTACTATAGGTTTCATAGAGAAACATGGAATTTCAAATGGAAATCTAATTTTGTATGTAAATTATCAATTCATAAATTATTTTAGGACTATTCTGTCTTCATTCTGTGTAGTAATAGTTGAGGATATCAGCATATCTAACATGATTTCTGATATTAGTTTTCCCAAGTATTTTGAGCAGGCAAAAAAATACATACATATTAACATTTGCTAGATGTCTTTATTCAGCAAATAATTGAAGAATGCATGTTTTGGACACTAAAAATAAAAAGGTGAGTAATAACAGGCATAGTCCTTGTTCTTTTGCAGTTTAACTCTACTTTGCTTATTTGGACAAGAAATATGCATTACACAGTTCAGTCTTTATTTAGAAATGTGTGAAACTTAAAATTGATAGATCCACTTTCATAGGCTCCCCTCCCCTTCCCAGTTTCCCACAGATATGGTGTCTTGCCTTAGGTTTTTGAAAACTTTCCCTGAAGAGCATTATAGTTAAATTATATAGTAAGATTTTACAGGATTTTTTTTGACATTAAAAAAAGTGTATGAAGGTATTCTAACTACAAAACAATTTTCATTAATAGTCATGAAGTGCAGTTTTTAAGTATCCTAGAAAACTTTCTGCTTGTTGGGCACGTTAATGCTTTCTCTAAAGAGATTTTAAGTTCTTTAATTTTTTTAAAAAGGGAGTGTGTCTGGTAAATAAACAAAAAATAATAGAAAATCCATTTTGGAAAGCACCCTTTTATAAAATTCATGGGTGTCTAACAGAGGAAAATGAATAAATTGCTACCCAGTTATGTGTATATTCTGGAAAGGACTGTTTGGGTGCCATCTGACCATGGAGGAACATCACAGATGAGCATGGTTGGAATGAAGTAATCAAGGGAGTCTTTGGAAACACCTGCAAAATCAGATAAAGCTTTATAGGGCATAGGAAATCTTTGGCACTATATGGTCATACTGCCGTAAATATCCCTGATCTTCTCTGAAAGTTTCTGGTTTTTACTGTGAGTGAGATGGGTACTCATTGCAGACCTTTCCACACAGTAGTGCTGTACTCTGACTTAATGTTTTATAATAATCTCCGATTATTACTTGAAGCATTGAGATGAAACTCTAGGAAGGCAGAGGTAAGAAGTGTGAAACTAAGGCATGACTATTGAAAATTCAGAGGCAAGAGTTGATGGTTGATTATATCAGTGTGGCAGTAGCTTTGGGGAGGATTCTGGATATGTTCATATTACCAATGGATCCCTAGATTCATCCCAAAATGGATGACTATTTAAGGTAGAAGTAAATCTAGAAGAGATAAATCCTATTTTATCTGGTTTGAAGATGTTCAGTCACAAATACCCTAATATGGGTATCTGCTGTTCTGATTCTGCCTTCTGAGTTTTCTTTTATTTCATGGTGTAGTTACAAGTTGTAAGAAGTTTTGATGAACTCCAACAGGACATTCAGTTACCTTGCCCTAATTTTTCTTACAAAACAAACAAGTTGTCTAATAAAACAAGAACTTTAAATGTGTAATTTTCGTTTGGATCTTTCATACTTAGTACATGTTCATGTGCTGATTATTAAAGCAAGATTATGTGACTGTATTGGGCATGGTAAGAAGGCTCTTATTCTACACCTGTGCTTTTTCAGAATGATAGGCTCAAATGATACTTGGGAATAGCAACTTTTAAGGAAGTTCTGTTTTGAATATGTTTGAAACACAGTATTGAAAGGGGTAATTTCATTTGTCTTCCATGCACAATCAAATGTCACTTTACTGAATTTTTCCCCTATAACTGAATTATGTTGTAAGAAACAGATCTTTATTACTATCATTACTTCAAAATCACTTTTCAATTACATTAGGTACTTCACATGATTTCAAGTATAGCCTGATGCCTGGCACGTCAAGCGATTTCAAGTATGGATTGATACCAGGTACTTCAAGTGATTTCAAGTATGGATTGGTACCAGGTGCTTCGAATGATTTCAAGTATGGATTATTGCCTGAATCTTGGCCAAAACAGGATACTTGGGAAAATGGCAAGTATTAGTCAACTAAACAACTACAAGCTTCTCAAAGAATTTTTAGCAATTTAAAACTTCCATATTCAGGGTTTTTAAAAAGTTATATAGTACTACTAGCCTTGTAATAACCCCTGCTCTCAGGGCTTTTGACAGCACATTTTCTGTTTAATATATAATAATTGCTTTTTTGTGTGTGTGTTTTTTCAATTCTCAAGGTGAATCATCTCTAATCATGAACAAGTTAAAATGTCCTCATTGTAGCTATGTAGCCAAATACAGACGAACACTAAAAAGACATTTGCTCATTCACACGGGAGTCCGATCATTTAGCTGTGATATTTGTGGAAAGCTGTTTACTCGCAGAGAACATGTAAAAAGACATTCCCTGGTGAGTAACTTTAAACTGATATTTGAGATAAGCTATATTTGTTAGTGAATGTCAAGATGTTTTTAACAATGTTACCTGTAAATTCAAGGACAGCCGATTATTAAATATATTGCTTTAAACAAAGAATATAATTTAACAGAGAATTGATGCTGAGCTTGATACAGAACAGCAGTGGTAATTTCACTATTAAATGGGTGGTTTGGTTTTGATGCACTTTATTTCCTACTCTATCCTTATACTGGATTTTTCCCCCCTCCAACTAGGTGCATAAAAAGGATAAAAAATACAAATGTATGGTGTGTAAGAAGATCTTCATGTTAGCAGCCAGTGTTGGAATAAGACATGGATCTCGACGCTATGGTGTTTGTGTAGACTGTGCAGATAAATCACAACCAGGAGGGCAAGAAGGTGTAGATCAGGGACAGGATACAGATTTCCCTCGGGATGAAGAATATGAGGAGAATGAAGTGGGAGAAGCTGATGAAGAGTTGGTTGATGATGGAGAAGATCAGAATGATCCATCTCGATGGGATGAATCAGGAGATGTTTGTATGTCTCTAGATGATTAACTGACCTACTCTACTCCTCAAGGATGCTGCATTTGGACATATGAATCGACAATTTGAATTGTTGAACTTGAAGGCTTGCAAAATATGGTACATGCTGGATGGTAGTTATGTTGCTGTGAAAACTGTAGGGTCAAAGCCTTATAGCAAAAAATTTTTTTTATATTTGCACAGGACTGTACAGCATACAACCTTGTGGTTGGATTACATAGAGTCCCCACATCTTCAGTCAGTTATCAAAGTAAAAATATTTTTTATTTATAGGATATACAGTAACTTAACTATTAGGGTCCTATAAAACATAGTACCTGTCCTTAAAGAACTTCCATTCATGTGCCACTTTAGCATGAATGAAGAAAATCCATTTATGAGAGTACAGTGACAGTCGACCCAATCACTCTATCAAACCACACAGACTAGTTTGTACTAGTAGAGTTTTGTTTCTATTTTTATTTTTATTAATTTTATTTTTTTTAATACAGATTTTCAGTGAGGGGCTTTTTCAACCCCATTGGTTCTACTTTTCTGTATTTTCGATTTAATTTGCTACATAACTTAAACCAAGTCTCTTCTAGTCTTAGATATTTCTCAGTTTCGTGCTAATGGGCATGCTTATAAGAACTGGAGAGGTAATTTATTGGTATGAACTGACTTCCTCCATTCCCCCTTTCCTTTTTGACATGAATTTTACTACTTCACAAAATGAAGAATGACGTTGCAAAGTTACCATGGCGAAGTTGACAAATACCACTAAAATGATTATGATTTAGAAGTAACTTTCTCCTGCTGCTCTAATCTGATAAATGGTTACTATATGACCTTTCCTACATGGTATTTGGTTTTGGGTATCTGTTACTTTGGCACTATTCTTGTTTGCCTCTTTATTTTTTGCCAGTGTACTATACCTCAGTCCTATTTGAAAAGACAGAAATCTAATCAGAAGAAAAGTCATAGAAACAATAGTAAAATGATTTGTTTTATAATTTATCCTCCATGTCCAGTTTGGTTAGCTTTGTTATGCAAAATAAGTGAAATATCAGGTTTTTACTCCTGTGCCCTTTTTATCATTAAAATTAACACAAAAAGTGCATTCTCTTTTGTTTCATACTTACTGGGATATTGAGTGTTTTGAAATTATGATAATTTATTTTCCAATTCATTAAAGTCACTATACTTCTGGTAGTCAGCATGATTCAACAATCTGCAAAAATCTTACAAATAAAATATTGTGAGAAGCTTTACAATTTATTAACTAAATTCTTCAGGGTACAAGGGGTGATGTACTAAATTGAAAATGTCAGATTTTATGTAGTGTAATGACAGATGAATTAGCTGATTGTTGAACTTAGCAACATTTCATGTAATAATAACATGCACATTTATCAGGAACATATTGTATATTATATAAGATTGAGGAACTTCATATTTTCAGCTTTCTTTTAAGTAAAATTGAGTTATTTTCCTATTTTTATATCAGGTAACTAAATTATACTAGTCGTGTGGAAAAAAATTGCAGAGTACTCTTTAAGGACCTAATTCTTTTGGTGCTCCATCTGATCAAAGTTGAAAAGTTTAAGAGACAAGTGTTCTCATTGTCTCTGGCTTTCATTAGAATAATGGTGTAATGTTAGACATTGATGTTTCAGCTTGGATAAATCAAAGATAAGTTACAGTTACATGGCTAGATGCATCTTTGGTCATCTAAACTTTATTGTAGTTTTCTACATAACTGTAAAACAAACATGAAGTTTTGGTTTGATTTTGTTTAAGACTGAAGAGTACATCTTATTCTGAATGTTCTAGACAAATGAGTAAAATGTAATTCTGGTAGGGTCCAAAGTAGAAGTTAGCTGGGCAAAGATACTATGAAAAAGTTATTTTAAACTTAAAATGTTCTGCTTTGTGAATATGTAAGTATAGTATAAAGATTTCGTCATCCCATTTATCCCCCTCCTTTAAAATAAACCATAGTTTACAATTGGTAGATCTGTCTATATATAAATATATATTAAAGAGAAAAGATATATATCTGAAAAATCACCTAAATCTGCTTTATTAGACTACAGTCACTTATTGCATAGAAACTGGACTTGGCTTTACATTCTTAATGTGCTTTTCCTTTTCTTCAAGATATGAACTTACTCTCTTTAAACTGAATTTTCTTTTACTACTTAAATGATTTATGTATATCTGGTAAATTATGACCAAATTTTTGTTAGAATGCATACAGTTAATTGAAATACACACTTGGTACACTACGGGATTGTTGTGCTTTTGTTTTGGTCTTAGTTGGAAGCAAGGTTTGATGTAGATGGCTTGTTATTGTTAATTTAAAATATTCTATTAATTGTCCGTTACCTTTTATGTTGTGTTGTGACAGATTTGGCTATATTTTTAGTCAACTGAAATATACTTTAAAAGTTTGTTTTTAGAAAGGTAATCCAAAGGAAAAATGTTTATACTCTTGAAAATATATTAGCCTCAGCCTATATGAAAACTTCTTCTTTAAAGTAAACATTTTACCAGAAACAGAATTGACAGATTTTTCTACTTGCTGACTGCCTAACTTATTTTGTTTCATGATCTCCAAGGGACTGCCTTTTCCCTTTTAGATCTTTTTAAAAGATAGTTTTAGTACTAAGGTATACTACTGGACGTTTCTATTTTTTTAAGTATATTCTTTTTCTGACTTACAGTACAATTTCAGGAAGTTGATAGATACTAAGAACTTATGATTGGTCTCAGAGAGGTAACAATGGAGTATTCATAATTTTGTCTGTGGAGCCTTGGCAGAATTATGTGTTACACAGTCGCTGAATTTTTCTCTTGTAACTTATATTTTAAATGAGAAGTATTTTAGAGCTTTTAATTTTAATGAAGGGGAAGAGAATAAGCTGTTTCCTATTTACTCTGTAGTAACATACCCTCTCATATAAGTCAAGATAATGTATTGTTTTCTTAGGATTCTCAGAGACAGTTACTTCCATATGGTCCCTACTTTGTCATAGTTATTTCCCCTTGTTTTTCATATGAAAAATACTGGCTACTTAGTAAAACTTCACTAAATTTTGTCACCCAAAGCAATTCAGAGGTAAAAGGGAGGGAGAGACTGAACAGTAATGTGTGCAGCTTTCAAATTTGCAGGGGATACACTAACTGGTTTGGGTAGAGCCATCCTGATGGAGAAGAGGAAGATGAATGAGTTAAGTGAGGTAAAGCGCTTAGAACACTGGTACATAATAGAGGCATAATAGATCTTAGTTAATATATGTGCACCTAGAGGAAAAGAAGAAATGAGAATTGGAAATCCAGGAGAAAATAGGAAGTGAAAGCGTCAGGGCTTAGACATTTATATTAATACAATAGAGTGTAAAAGCCCTGAAGATGACTGGATTTCTGTAATGAAAGTGTAATAAAAATAGACTTAAAAAATCACAAGCTGTATTTTTAGGATCTTTCCAACACAGCATGAAGAGATTTATTTTTCTGAACAATGAATTCCTAAAATAACAAATTTTTTTGAGTGCCTACATGTACGATTGCATTTCACATTATCTTATCGATTCCCCTCCAAGGTTAGGTGCTATTATCTCCATCTTCTAGATGAGTAAAGGCTCCAAGAAATTTGCCTAATTTAACTTGCCTAGTGTAACATGCTAAGTGGTAGAGCTGGGTTTTGACCAGATCTGATTCTGACACTCAAGTTCTTTTTTAAAATTGCTGCCTCATTAAGCAACTTTTGTATTTCAGCTCTTTAGAGGAGTCTATGGAGACTTTTTCCCTATAAAACAGCTGTGTTAAGGAATTTGAGGGTCTAATCCTCCCCCAGATAAGTATCCTTATGTCACTTGACTATAAGATATCCAAGCTCAGTGTAGCACATGCTTTTTATTGGCAGTGGCATTTTCCTTTTTTAAAGGATGGTTTTTAACTGAAATAGATTTGAACCCCAATTTTTGTGCCGTTCAGTCACCCAGATCCTTAAACTTAACTATGGTACATAATATACATGCTTAGAAACTGACAGGTGTTTTTTCTTAGTCACTTTAGGATTTAAAATGGAAAGTTTTTTTCCTGCTGTATCCCTGCTTTCAAATGAAGTTGAAGAATTCTAGTTTAAAATGTGTTTGGGATAAGCACACTTTAAAAGATGTTTTCTAGTTCTGAATTTTATGACATCGGGTACTTAAATTTGGAGTACACTGGCTATTGAGAACAAAATTTTGGGTTGAGAGGGATGGTTTGAGGCCATTATGAAATGGGAGAATCAGCATTTTAAACACTGTAAACATAAAAGAACACTTTCTTCTGCCTGCTGTTTGTAAAAGCTCTTTGGAAAGATCTTTTACGAAGACCAATTTTTAATGTAATTTACCTACCTAGTATAAGTGTCCTACGACATGTATGTAAACTTCCAAAAATGTTTTGTCTGTGTATTTAGAAAATACACAAGAATATCAACCCTAAAAATATAAACTTGTGAGCACTAAACTGCTTCTGGCTTTGTGAATTTTGTTGACTGACATTTAATTCAGGATTCTTTGCATTAAAAGTGTACTAATACAGATTAATTGGGGTGAGGGGGATATCTTTGTATTCTTTGACTTATGTATAATTCAGATATCTACTTAAGGTTTACAAGTTTGAACTATAGAATATTATAAGGGTTTTTGGTTTGTATGTTTTTATATGAAGTGCATAAATGACTAAAACTACCTCCTAGTAATGTGTGGAAAACTGCTTTAATAGATAGCAGTGACGTAAAATCATGTTGTCTTTCATCTTTTACTTTTAGGATTTGCTACAGGAGTTAGAAAACATTTTTTAAAAAAATAGCCTTGTTCCCTCCACCAAGGTGTATTATTTCTTAAGAGAATGATTTGGTTTAACAGATTGACTAGAAACTGCTTATAAATCATGAGGTTGAAGGCTAAAATTTTTCACCCCATGTTTACATATTAGCTGATTAATGGATAATAAGTAAACGTAACAAATTTTAGTAAGTCTTTGAGATTGTTTAATAATAGAAAATACAGTTAACTAGTTTTTCAGAGTTTTTGGTGGTTGGTGATAGATAAAAGGAAGTCATAGAATAACCTGGTATCCAGACTTTACAAAAGAAATGAAAGATTCTTTCGGAGAGGTGCAAATTAAGGGGAGTGAGGTGTAGGGGTGGGCTAGTGCCCACATAGCCTATAAAGACACTACCTAGTATCTTTAAACTTGTATTGTGGCAGAAGTTGATATATTCTGTATGGTTCTGAGAGGTTAAGTTTGGAACCACTTAGCTTAATACTTAAAAAAGCAGTTTTTAATAAATGTCCAAAGATGAAATGTGTCAGAATAAAAATAAATCTACAACCACTGTAGATGTTCTAGATGAAAAGCGAAAGATCACCTGATACACATTTTGGCTTAAGGCTAAGGCAGTACCAGCCGAACATTTTTCTATTTCAGATTGTGCTGTCAATTTTATCTGTTTTGCTTAATGAGAACACTTAAAATTATGTGTGCATAAATATGTCATGAAGATGTTTTGACACACAAAAAGGACACAATTGAAATCTATAGATCATGTTTATTAGCTATTTGGAAAAAAATGCTATATGAGCCTTCTTTTTCACTACAAATCATCAGACTTATGTGTGGAGGCTGGTATAGGAAATTTAATTCTTGGATGCTATGATCAGATTAAGAAGTTGTTTGAATCTTAATCTATATCATAACTTTCTGAATTTTGAACTAAAGAAGGAGATTTTTAAAAATGTCGTATAGGGAATCTCTTCATTGATTTAGTGACTAAAAACTTAGTGACCATAGCTACAT